TTCAATCTTATTTGATAAAATTTCAAATATTTTTTTGTACAAGCATTTTCAAAACCGAAAAAATATATATATATATATATATACACACACAAGAAATTGTTATCCTTAATACATAAATAAGATCACTATTTTCTTTGGATCTATACACTTTATTTTTCTCACCATATTTTCGACTTACAAATCCATTGATTTGTTCAGATATTCATTTTTTTAATTTTATTAAAATTTATCAAATTAACCACCTCATTTCTAGAGTTATTTTATTATAGATATGTATTTTGAAAATGCTGGTCTAGAGTAATATATAAAAAAAATAAACAAACATTCAGTTTTCACCAATTCCTTCTTCTGTACATGTTGAAATATTTCAAATCAATCATTTTATTACAATATTGACAATGTAAATTTTAGCTCATCAATGTTCGGATGCATTTTTTACTGATACAAATGTTTAACATATTCTGTCCTTCACATGTTTGTCATTAGAATTGGTGATGATAAAAAAAGATGAGACAGTTTGAAAATGTTCATAAATTGATATTTATTCAGAATTAAAATGTGTGAAAAATAAAAAGGAAAAGTCTATAAAAAAAAAAAAAAAAAAAAAACAACAAAGCTGACAGTCATCCATGTTGTACTACAGATGGAAGTTTCTTGCATTTTTTTCTTTTGTTTTATGGCAGTGAAAGTCAGAGAATCTTTCAAAGTGAAGAAAAGAAAAAAATAACATGCACACAAAAATAAAAGGTTTTTCTCTTCAGCCCCAATAGCTGAAAAATCAAATAATTTACATCCAATAATCTGGATTCAGTTTTCAGTAAGAGAGAAGAGAAAAGAAAAAAAAAACATTCTGATGACTGTGTCAATGTTTTACACAGCACCTAAAAATTTCTTCCTAAGTGAAAAGTGGAAACTTTTTAGGGATACCCACAGTTTGACATGTTTAAAATAAAAATAACAGAAGGGATATAAAATTTAAATGGAGGGAGGGAAGAAAAATAGAGAAAAATTACCAACAAGCAGAGGTTTTATTGAAACATTTTAATGAATATTCCATGTGTATTTACAGGAGATGATAGGATGATGGTTTCTGCCAGTGGACAGGGGAGGGGGGATTTTTTCCCCCCCAGTTTTCATAAATGTCTTCTTCAAGCAGCTAGACTGAAATGCCAGTGAATAAGATTCTTAAAAAAAAGGGGAAGGGAGTATGTGCTTATGGAGGAGGAGGAGGAGCCACAGGGAAAAAAAAAAATCTAATTCTTCAGAGCTTCACAAAATAGCAATGAATGAATTTACCATTTCAGGCAGGTTAGATTTTGCAAGTGTATTTAATACACTGACCTAATAAAGGTGAACAAAACTTGCCCAAGGCCTACAGATCTGTTTCCAGAACTGAAACAAGCCAGGATAACTAAATGTGAAATTACATAAAACTGTGCAAAAAGAGAAAGGGTTTGAAAAGCAAACCAAACAAATTTTCATGGAGCTAAGCAGAGACTACTCAGAAAATAAAGCTATCATTTTTCGCCCCCCCCACCCAAATGTTATGATTTTAGAACCTGATTCATATTGAAAGAAGTTGAAAATCAAAGTTAATTTTTCAGAACAATAATAATGTCTATTTTCTGGCAGTAAAGTTTACCATTATTAGTGATACACAGAACATTGGTCATACAATTCAAACACAACACAGAAAAGAGAAGAGTGACTGGAAATGGAGTCATTCCTTCCGCTAAATTTTATTTAATTAAATTTTGTGCATTAAATCCAATTTGTTTGAGAAGTCGATATTTTCAAAATGACCTTATATAATTTTGATAAAAGCAAATAAGAAATAAGGTCTTTTTAAAGCTCTATTTAGTAAAATATAAAACTTGTAAACTACCTTCCCAATTTATTGCCCAAAACATGTATAGGGTGGGAGAATCTGACTACACAGTAGCCAATAAAATACAATAATCCTTGTTTACATACAAAGAAATACATATAGACTAGACTCAACATAAAAGAGAAGCACGCACGCACACATACACACACACAAAGTGTGAAAGGAAAGACAAAGCTCAAACAATTTTAAAAAAAAAAAAAAAAAAAAAAAAAGTTAATTTCAACCTGTATAATTGAATTTTCTAAAGCTGCAATACATCCAAACTCCCAAAATGTTATTTGTAGCAATGGATATTTATGTGACTTGAAATATTAAATTAGACTGATGAAAAGATTGCTCACAGAATGTTTTTGATGGTTCATCACTAAAGTTAAATTCAAAATGCTTTAATGTTTGAACATTACCCCTCCCCACAAAATTGTTTTACTAAGAGCAAACCAGATGAAAAAGTAAACATCTGTCTTCATGTGAAACCAGAACAATCAAACATTTGGCAATAATCAGAGCCCTTAATAAATGCACTACCCTACCCATAGAGTCAAACCTGCAAGTGGATGCTGCTACTACTACTGCTGCTGTGACAGTTGAGTGATTTCAATCTTTGGTGCCATTTACTCAATGCTGATTATTATTAAAAAAAAAAAAAAAAAAAAAAAAAAAAAAAAGAGAAGAAATTCTGCTGCTTCTTCTTCTTGTTGGAATTTTTCCACAAGAATTTAAACAATGAACCTGAAACTGTGCAAATACTTATTTACACTGCTTAAATATCACAGCTTTTTAAGAGTTTCCCCCCAACCAAGTAGCACAACTTTGTCAGGGAGAAAGTGTTCTTTGCTTAATTTTCTATGAGGTAAATTTGAGCTAGCATTAGAAATGGGATGGAATAGAAGAATAGCAACAGTAGACATCCAAGGAGGTAGATTCCCATCAAGCAAGTTTTTTTTTTCTCATTTCAGTTAGGTTTTCATGTAAATTTAATCAGTCTGAATGTGAATAGAAAAGTTTCAACATTGGAGGCAAATCTTGTGTTTGCTACAATTAATCTTGTAGATGTCAAGTCTACAATATTTAAAAGGTTAGAAGTTGTAAAATCCTACAATCAAATTTTTCTAAAAATTATAAAGTACAATTTGCTTAATCCCAAAATCTTTTTATGCACACAAATCATGAAGTCCTCACCATTTTTTTTTTTTTTTTAAAAAAACAAAAACTTACTGTGAAATAAGATTTTTACAAAAACACACAATGGTTAGAATGCAAGATAAAATGTCATTGTTTTATATTAAGACAGCAGAAAATGGATAGATTTTTCAAAAGTAAAGTGTATATCTGTCATTATGATTAGACGTCCACTGCACAAGAGGAAAAAAATAAAACCTGTTTGTCTAGAGGTAATGATGAAATCTAACTTGAAAACTTTTACAGTATTAAGCATGTTAAATCATTGGAAATTAGAAATAAAAAAAAACTGAAAAGTTATTTAAATGAAAATAATTTTTTTCAAAAATTGCTCCAAGTATCACAGCAGAAAAGCCAAAAAAATTATTCAAAAAAAATTAAGACTTGATCTCTATTAAAATATTCACTTTGAAAATTAATACAAACTTTTTAATAATTTTGTAAATAGGAAGATATATCTGTACTGTTGTACCAAAACAAAACTAAAAAACTGATTGTTTATTAGTGTATATATATATATATATATATATATATATATAGCTGAATTATTTGGAAAAACTATTTCTACTCACTTTAGATTAAAGTTTTTATCAAACCTGTGAAATAAAAGTATGGACCATTTGCAGAAATATCGTTAGCAAAGGAAACAAATTGTTACACAAGTAGTTTTGACCACCTTAAATATAATTGTCAATATGTAGTGCATTGTGGAAATACCTGAATATAGAGGACTGGAAAAAGCGAGAGAGAGACTTGGGTATAAAACAAATACTTACAGTTAGATAAAACAAATTCAGTCAAAGAGGCATTTTTGAAATATTTGATTTTTTTCTTTTAATATATGCCATTGTAATTATACAAATAACTATACTGTTTTTTAAGCAATGAATATATTTTTAAAAATAAAATCAATTCTGATAAAAGAAGAAAAATGACAGATCCAGTTATGATAGTGCAAAAAAAAAAAAAAAAAATCAATATAGAAAATGGAGCAGTAGGAATATTTTGGTCAAAGAGCAAGCATTTCACTAAACCTATTTTAGACAAGCAAGAAAAAGATTTTCTCTTGGTAATTTGTAGATGTTTTTTTTTATCCAAATTAAAAACTAAATTCTTTCTATGTTCTTTTATTTTTATGGGAAGTGAATTTCATAAAACTGACTCCATGAAAGATGCATTTGTAATAGGAGACATAAGTTCAACTTTACTACTACAGCTACCACTGCTGCAATAGAAACAACTAGCAGCTATGATACACACAAAAGTAATGCATGTGTGTATGTGTAAGTTTCCATGTAGAAAACAACAAACCATAAATCAGTATTTGCAAAATAATGTTCCTTAGATTGTAACAAAATGTATGTGAGCCTATGGAGAGAAAAAAAGGCAAGCTTACAGATAGGATCTACTTATGTACAATATACAATAAGGTAGCCTTTTCCACAACAAGAATTTTTCTTTTTATTTGATATCAAGTAATCAGAAAATAATCTACATTCTATGTTAATTTTGGTGATCGTTTGAGTCAACATCACTGAGGATACCTCCCCCAACAGAAAATACCGAAAAAAAAAAAAAAATGAAAAGAAAAGAAAAAAGCATGCTCCAAGACACACGCACACTCCAGTTTGCAATGACCCTAGCAATCCTATCCTATTTATTAATCCTTTCATAGAATTGAGAGAGGAGGAGGGGGATATAAACAAGAGGTTGATGGATGGTTGTACCAATTAAGCCCAACAGCAGTTAAACTAAGGAAGAGTGTTTCTTTTTACCTGAGCAACCAATATGTCTCTATCCAATTTAGAAGCACAGCAGTCAAAGCTAACCATATTTACTTGCCTTTCCTACCTCCACTGCAAAACGTCTCTCCTCAAATAGTAAAGCTCTGAAGAAGGAATAAAAAAATTTAAATGGCTCACAACTGAAAGTTTTATTTTCCCAGACTGAATGATAACTTTGGTCGGGCATTTTTCTTGTTTAAAATCCTATCTTGTTCCTGTTTTACTCGTTTCCTCTCCTCTTCCTCCATCCTTTGCTTCTCCTCAAGGATTTTACGCTGTTCCTCAACCAATTTCAACTGTTCTTCCGCCTGAAAAAGAACAAAAGAAATTATAAAATAAAAAAAATGGGGGGGAATCAAATAACGTAAGGACACAAAGCATAAAACAGTATATAAATCTATTTGGAATTTGATAGACCGCATAAGATGATCATTTCCTGGGAAAAAAAAAAAAGTCAGTCCTATTAATTTTTTCAAAACTAATACAAGTTTTTTTTGTTTTTAACTGTATGCAATATACAACATTTGCTGATAGATGGTGTTTTCACCCCTTTTTAGGCTCTAAGTCAATTTCAGTTAAGTTAGGCCAATATTAAATGCCAGTCTACAAGGTATATAGACAAGAATATTAAGACAGGCCCATCACAATCTTCTGATAGCATAGAAATAAACATTTCTGAGTATACAATTTTTTATTTTTTTTTACAATTAAGTAATCAACAAGGTCAAGTTGTATGTTAAAGCCTTTCTTAGGTGAGAAATCAACAATATTTTGTCCTTAAACTGTTGGTGGTAACCAAGTTAGGTGTGACTCATTTTCTACTAAATAATGTTTATAAATTCAGCAATCAAGACAATGAGGAAACTCAAAGAAAAAGGAAACCACCCTCCCCACCTGCAACAGAGGACACCAGTTGTAATAAGATAAAGATTGATGCTATCACTTCTTTAAATATTAACATTTTTCAAAAATAAGAAAAAAATTTTTAAGCAAGAAATGTGAATGAAAAATCAGGTTGTACATTCAAAAACAGAACATTGTTATGCAATTATCATGTGGTGTGCCAAGACCACATAACAAGTAATGCAAGATGTCAAGTTTTCTTTGAAATGTGAATGTTGGTAGCCAATATCAACAAACACTGAAGAGCCTGACTTCAATTGCTGAGTGTTGCAGTTAAGTATGAGAAAAACAAGATGATTCTCTTTTGGAATCAAAGAATATCCCAAGTGTAATGAAATTACTTTGAAAGCCTTTTTTAACATTTCATTCAAAATACCTCATCAAGAAGAGCTTCTCAGCCTTAAATGTTATTAAAACAAAATACAGAATCACGATAGATATATATCCATCCTCATTTGTGTATGGCAACCATAAGGAACCAAGATAAGATGACAAAGAAAAGTACATCTTTCATATTAGAAACAGGTCAGATATTTATTAGTATTTTTAATCTATTTATTATAATTTGACATTTAGTTATAACGACATGATTTTAATATTTTTGCTAGAGTTTTTTTTTTTTTTTTTTTACACATTTCAAAATAAAAAATAAATTAGAAGACTTATCTACTTTAATATATTCATTATATTTTTCTGGTAAAGATCAAAACTGTTATTGTTAAATTGTTATAGCATTGTTACATGGTTGTACTGACGCTTTTTTGAAAAATAGGAAATTGCCATTTCCTGGAAACAAACCAATATAAAGCCACTGATGGTGATTTATTATGAGTTCTACTATTATGTCTATGCTGGCTTGGAAATACTACTAAGCACCTGTTAGTTTATAACACAAATGCTAGTGACCAACATTTCAGTGTTTTCAGATTATATATATCAACAACAAGTAATATAAATTTCATAAAAACATGCTTTAAAAACATATATTGTCAGCAGGTAATATAAGTTTTGTAAATGTATTAGCACATCCATAGCAGCAGAAGAGTTAATATGAATTTTCAATATTTTACTGATCATATAGGAATAATAAATTTCACACAAGATATGCTTTAGAAAATAAGTTTGTCAGTCTTCAGTATCAAATAGTTTTAAATTACCACTAATCAAAGGAATTTTCCACAGAAAATAATCACCAAATAGACACTGTAACTGCATTGTGTTTGGGGAAAATAGATTAATTCTCTCATCTTAAAATATTTGCTACAAATCAGAATTACAGAGTTTTTCCTATTATTTCCCACCAAATCAAAGTTTCTTAAAGAAATAGAAAACAAAAAAAAAGGTTATCTTCAAGAATTTGGATTAAAACATTTGGTTCTAACAGTGAAACAGACACTTGTAATTGTTTACTCTGCTTTAAGCAACAGACTCTCTCTCTCTCTTGTTTGGCTGAAGTTGTATACAAAATATCATTTCACATACTCAAGTACTCATCTAAGTTTAGATAATTTCTAACCAAGGCAATCTTCTCAAATGTACCATGTCACTATGAATACAGACTTTGAGGGTAAGCATTATTTAAAAACAAAACATTAAGAAAAATAAAAAATATTGTTGGATAATTACCTAAAATTTTGTTTAAAAATATTTACTGATAACAACAGACTTTTGCTTTAATGTTAATGTTTACATTTGTTAGCCGCCACATCAATTATTGACCAACTTAAAATATTTTAAGTTATAATTAAAAATCTACCCAAAACAAACTAATCTTCTAATAATGATTTAATGGAAAATAGTAATTTCATGATTAGTCATAAAAATTTTGACATTTTCTTTTTTTACTTAAATTATAATGAAAAATATTTTTAAACATTTATGGTTAATCAGTGTCATTTAAATGCCAATGTGAGTGGCATGCAACATGTTTAACTGAATGAGTGATTTAAGTGAATAGCTGTTGACAGATAAAATGGCCTACATGTTATTCTAATACTCCCTTCAACCCTCAGTGTTATATTCTGATTGAGCCTAAAAGCCATCTGGTTACTGCTTAATTTTCCAAAACAGATTGAACTAGTGTTGTTTTTTTTTTGGGGGGGGCGACTTACTTCCTATATCTTTTATGTTGACCCTGAAATATTATAGATCTATCATCATAGAAATTGTCTTTCAAGGATAGGAAGAAGAAAATGACCAATTTCCCCCTCCACTGAACTAAATTTGTATCAAACAAAATACAATTATTTTTTTTTATTAAAAATAAATAAAAACAAATAAAATGTGAGAAAGAAATTTATTTGTGAAATTCAGATATAGAATTTTAAAATATATTTGTTTTTGGCCAGAAATAAAATATTTTGTAAATGTTTGAGGTTTAAAGACCTTTACGTGAAGAATGCATAGCAGTATAAAACCATGAAGATCTTTAGGACTGTACCAAAAATGTGCTTTCCTTCTCACAGAGGAAGGCTCAGTTAGATAGATTGACAATCACATTCAATTAATAGAAATTAGTGGAAATAATTTTTAATGAAAAAAAAAAATAAATAAATAAATAAAATGTTCTTTTAAAAACTATCAAAGTACAACACTATATATTCAATGATTCTATTTTTTTAATAAAATACTAATCAAGTCAGTGAAAAAAAAAAAAAATTATTCAAGGATATTCATTCAAATATCAAATAAATAAATGCCAATAAAAAGAATTTGGCATTTTTCTTTTCATGTACAATCAAGCAAATAAAACTAAAAAATTACCAAAATAGTAATATCATGCGTTATTTTCTTTTCATTTCTAAAGTAAAACACCTGGATTGGTTCTATACGTTTTTAAAAAGTGTACACAATTTCTCCAGTATATTTATATTTAAAATCTGCATATAAATAAAAAATCACGACTTTCATCAACAATTTAAAGTGAGGGGGGGGGGTCTTATTCAAATAAAAATATTCGCCTAAATTCATTTCATCATTTAAATAAGTGCTGAAAGTTTTATTCGATTGCAATAGGTTAATTTCTTATAGATTTTAAAATCTTACTATCTTCTGTCAAAAAATTATTTTCATAAATTATTGTTACACTTTTTAATAAAAGACATTTTCAGACAAAACTATTTTATTTTAGAATTTTTCAATTTTTTTTTCTTTAAATTATGGCATAAAGATAATGCTGATAAACTTGTAAAAAAAAAAAAAAAAAAAAAAAAATCTTATCAACAGATTATGCGAAACAGACAATTATCATTTGAAAAGATTGGTTGGTTTAGTGCCAAAATGTAAATTGGATGCTTGGATTTAGCTCTTTAAGTCAATCTCATGCATATTACAATCAGTTTATATTTTTTGTTCAAGTTTCAAAATCCATCAACTGCTTTGATTAATAGTTTGAGAAATGTGAACCTGCAGCCTATATTCATTATTCATGTAAGTTAAGAGCAGAAAAATTCACTCTCCATGCAGAATAGAAAGAAAACAGAAACTAAGTGAATGTTTGAATATTATAACAAAAAGGTGATTACACATGCAATCTGCATTCAGTTAGCATTTGCACAAACTACATGAGAATTTTTAGATTTAATAAGAAAACAAAGTTAATTTCTGCCTGTTTTGTTCTTCAGAAAAAAAAAAAAAAAAAAAAAAAGAAGTGAAGAGAGAAACAAAATATAAAAGAAAATAGATTGAAAAAATAAAAGCAAATCAGTAAATATGTTGAACTGAAAATGAAAGTAAAAAATTGGAGAAACATTAAAATAGAGAAAATTTTAATAAACAGAGAGAGAGAGAGAGAGAGAAATGTATTTATTTTTTAAATCTGTATCCTGTTTTCCCCATGTGACATGGTCTTGAAGGCCAATTTGTTGTTAAAACAATGTTGACTAGATTCTGCTTAATTTAAACTGACCATATGATACTGGCAGGACAGATTGAAGGCAAGATGGACAGAGGAAAACAACACATAACCTACCTAGCAATCCTGAGTAAATAGATGATAGAACAGGGTTTAGGAGAGATAACAAAAAATACAAAATTTATTAAGCGCTACAAAGGACAGGAAGTTGCAGAGAGCCATGATCGGCAAAATCATGAAAGGACACGGTACATAGAAGAAGAAGAATATATGAAATCACTAATGGAATTACAGTGAACAAATATAACCACTGGTATTCATCCTTTTAGAGATTAATGTATGTCTATCAAAAGTTTAGAGATTAATGTATGCCTATCAAAAGGACTAATTTGAATATAGAAAATGTATTTAAAAGGGAATAAAATAATGTCAAGCTGAAATGTGGGTAATTCATTTATTTTTTTTCAAGAACAGAATGCTAAAAACAAACACACATACACAGAAGACTGATATTAGCCAAACTAAATTCAAATTATTCTGAATTATAAGTTA